TTCTCCTTCTCACATTCAGTCAGCGGCTGCTGGTTCGCCTCTGCAGAATACTAAAAATATTGATTATTTATTTTAAAAAAGTAACTTCCATCAGTTTTGTGACGTATGAAGTGCAGTAACTTTAAAGTCTCTCACCTTGTCGTGTGGAGCGGATCGGATTCCCTCTGGAACTTCGTTCTGGAAACAAATACAGATTTTCCAAAGTTCAAGTCAAATATTTTCCACTTCCGGTCGTTTTAAAAAGTGATTCGCATCTACGAGATGATAACTGAGGCAAGTTAAAGTTTTTATGAGTCTGATAGTAGAAACTCCATTTTCAGTGAAGTGTGTGTCCATTTCTAAGCTGAGAACTTCAAACATTATCTTCCAAGCGGTTTGTCACAAAGACAATTGTTCTGCTTTCTTCAGCTGAATCTGTAGGGAAGAGAAGAAAAACAGTTTGCATTAGTTGATCCAGGTGAAACTTACAGGTGAGCAAGGCTTCACAGCACAGTCCCTCAGACCACAGTGGCTGTCTGCCGTCCAGAAAGGACACGGTTTGTTCAGGTTCACCTGGAAAACAGGTCACCAGAAACGCTTAGAAACAGATGATTTAATCCGGCAATCTGTGAATTACGAGTCAGTCTGCATTACCTTGTAGAACCTGAAGTAGTGGGACTCCAGGAGAGGTTGAAGTTTAGGGAAGATCTGCTCGTTGAAACTGTCGATGGTTTCGACGTCGCATGTGCAGTCGTCCAGTTCACCTGTGACCTGGGAGGAAAAATGTTTGTCTTATTTGAATCATAAATTCCTCAGTTAAGTCTTAAAAAACTGAATGTCTGTCTCTCAGAAAGAAACTGAGACTGATCGTTGAGTAAGTGCCACTTTAATATAAGATGTAAATGGCCTGTATGGGCAGGAAGCCTCACCGAAATTATTTCACTGTTGTAGACAGAAAAAAAAATCTTAATTTTCTATGTAGTTATTCCTGAAGCAACAATATACTGCTTTGAATATGAAAAATTATGAATACAAAAGCAACAAAGACATGAGAATCCCATCTTCAGCTTTCAAAAATTATTTCCACTAAACAGCAGAGTGTTAATCTAAAATAAGGATTTAACTTAAGGATTTTTTAAAGTTTGAATAAAATCCAATTAATAAATCTTACCCAGGAAAACATAACATCTTGTGATTATATGGGTCAGTTGTCTTTGTAAACATTTTGTTTTTGTCATTTTTAGGGGTTTGGATAAAACAGTACAGCATGTGAAAAGATCAAGTTTTATTCTAACAGCACTTTATAGAATGAGTCCTACTTATGGATCACATTGTTACATTTAATTCAGTGTCTGTTAATCCTTTTTTTTTGAGAGCCTTAGTAATTATAGCAACACATTTTTATTTATAACATTATATGTACATCTCAATGACAACAAAAGCATTAAAAACCAATAAACACAACTTTTAAATGTTAATCAAGGCCTTACAGACAAGAATGATTCCTCTAAATAAGAAAAAATGCATTTTCTTTGCATTTGGGGGGTTTTTGGTGTTACAGGTAGGGCACCCAAATAGCTAGCAACGCCCCTGAGTCTAATCAGTCTGATGTAAGGTGTTGAATATTATCAGCAAAGACGGATACATTGTTTACAGTGTAAAAAGATTATTGTTTTTTCCTTAAAGTTTACGTGAGTTAGGAATAACACTCTGCATTTTCAGTTATATTGTTATGAACACAAATAACGTCTGAAAAGTTTTTATCCACTGTTGACCATCTGGGTTGGACTGAGGCAGGACGTCGCTCACCTGACAGAAACACCTGCCGTGTGCAGATCTGGGCACCTGCAGGAGGAGGAGAAGAAGGAGGAGGAGGAGGAAGACCACCGACTCCATCAAGGTCCGTCTGGGGTTTTATTTCCTACAGCTGATCCGGAGCCGCTTTCAGGCGGCGCGTTTCGTGAGAAATGAGGGGGAAAAGCCGCTTCGGCGGCTGCAGCTGTGAGGAGGCGGTGATCGGAGTGAAGTGTCATTTCCTGACGTTTCCTCATTTCCAATCCGCGACGTGCCGTACGTGACGTCCGGCTGCCGCGCTTGTTTGACTCACGTACGTCTCCACCGGCAACGACTGTTGAGGGAAAATGAAGTTTTGGTGAAACAAACGCGCTGCATGGTTCTCACAGAGGACAAGAGTGTGTTTAAAAACGGATCGGCAGTTTCGTTGAATTTTGTCACGTATCCGTGTGTATTCAAATCAGCCACACGGGGGCGATAGAGAACAGATGTATTTTACCGTTGGATTTATTTTTGTTTTTAGGGTCTTTTTTATATACCATGATATAAAACTGGAAATCAACTTTTGATAATCCCACCATTATTTTATAACATTTTATCACGATTTAAGAAGTTAGCCAATAAATAATTGCACTGAAGCGAAGGAGTCAGAGGTACAGTTTTGGAGATGTTTAAAGGAATTGTGGTATAAATGATCAAGAACCTGGAAAAAAAAAAAGAACATAAATATGTGTGTGAAAATACAAAGACAGAATAAAACAAAAGGAGTATCAAACAAATAAATAGTTATTTCAAAGATGATTAAATATTAAAGCAAATATATGTGAAAAATACTTTATTTTTTTGCATTCACTCGTATGCTTATTTATTTATGTCTCTATTCTGTATAGTGGCAGGATTAGTAGCTACTCTACATACACATGCATATTTATAAAATGGAAAGAAAATAATATGGGTTTTTTCCCCTTAAAAATAGGAGGGTTAAAAGTGACACAATTAAAATAATAGCTAATCATTAAATCACTAATTGAATGTACCCAGTTTAATGTTAATTAGCTACTAATTCAGCTTAAACAGATAATTGATTAATAATTATTTTATAACACATAAATTATTTCAGGTTCCAGTCTGTAGTTCTCAAAAAAAATCTCATTTATAAAAACTAATTAGCAGTTTCTTCAAAGTGTCACGTCTCTATAATGTAATGTCCCACATCAGCCACGCGGGGGCGATATAAGACAAAAGTCTTGATGTCCCTTCGCAAAAACAGTTACATTTCATTTTATTAGCTGTCCGTGTGTTGACTGTGTTGAATGGGATTAATTTGAGAAATTGACAAGAAAAAACAAGGACATTTCTGTGCTTGAAAAGTGAAAAATGTGGTAGAAAAAAACTAAGAACTTTTTAGATTAATTAAAAATAAAGTTTTTCTAGTAGATTTTTAATTTTGCAACTCAGAAAATTCTCATTTTCTTCTAGAGAATTTCTGAGATGAATCTTTGACTTTTCAAATTCAGAAATATCCTTGTTTTTTCTAGAATATTACTGAGATTATTTTTTATTGATTTTTTTTCTAGCAAATTTTCAACTTTTGAAACTCAGAAATTTCCTTGTTATTTGTAGAAAATGTATTAACTTAATCTCAAAATTTTGACTTTTTATAGAAAAATGTGACTTTTCAAACTCACAAATGTCAATTTTTTATAGAAATTTGTTTTATATTTATCTAATAAATTTGTGTTTTCAAATTTTCCCGCACTTTATAGAAGATTTCTGAGATTAATCTCAACATTTCTGTTTTTTTTTTTTTTGACAAACGTTTTAATTTTCAAACTCAGAAATTGACAAGTTTTTTTCCTGGAGAATGCAGAATGTTATTTTTATTTATTTATTTTTCTTTTAGCAATTTTGTGACTTTTGAAAGTCAGAAATGTCCTTGCTGTTTCTAATCAAATGTATGAGCTTAACGTCAAAATTCCTGATTTTTTCCTAGCATATCAAACTTAATGTCCTTGTTTTTAAATTTCTGAAAAAAATCTCAAATGTTTGTTTTTTTTAACCAAACTTCTGATTTTTCAAATTCAGATTTTTTCTTTTCAGCGCTTCATCTGAGGAGTTTTCTGGCTGAAACCTTCCTACCTGTAACTGCCGTATGACGTCACAGTGATCTGTATTCAGTGAGTTTGAGGAAAAACGTCACACTCCGTCGCTCCTCCGTGTTGAAGTTGGAGGATTTTAAAAAGTTGTGGATTCTGACGGACTTCCTGTTTCGGACATTTTTCTCCCGTGGGGTCGCTCCCCCCCCGCCCCCCCTCTCTCTATTTTGGTGCTTCCTCGCGCTGCCAAGCCCCTGACGTAATGCTCCGCTGTTAATGATTAGCAGCGCGAGCTTCCCGGCCCACATCAAACAGGCCGGAAGCTGGCCAGGGCAGCCTTCAAAATAAAAGCCTCACGCTCAAATCCACTGTCTAAAAGTGCAACATCAAATATTAATTTGATTAATTAATAATTTCATAAAAGTTAACTAAAATTTTATGTTTATTTCTAGTTGCTAAGGTTTTTTCTTACTTTCAATTTTATTTAGCTTTAACTTAAAATTTTTAGTCTTGTTTTTATTACTTCTAACCATTTCTTTGATTTTTTAAAAATGTTATTAGTTTTTTAAATGGTTAGTTTAACTTTAGTATTAACAAAAAAATGTTTAATTACATCTTCGTCATTAATGATAATTATTTTTGATACTAAACTGTTTTTGCATAAAACAAAATAAATTACATTTTGTTAAATTAAGTTTGAGTTTTATTTTCATTTGAAATTCAAGTTGGTTATAATAAATTAAATTACATCTCATGTAACTTTAATTTTAGATTTAAAATGCACCATTTGATTTAACTTAAGTTAAAAATGCTTCATGTTAAACTAAATTTATTTAACTTGATTTCATAATAACTGTGTTGTGGTTTCCTTTGTTTTGTATTTGCTGTTTGTACAAATTGCATTTAATTATTAATTTGCATAATCTAAAATCAGCAGAAGGAAAAAAGCCTTTTGGCTCATTCTGCAGAAATGCTACATAATCTGTGTTGCCCCTGTCAAATAAATGAGCACATTTCAAATGAGTTGAATTGTGATCCTTCAAAATGAAGCTTTATTTTGACACCCAGGCAGCGGAACGTGTCTGCTGCGCCCCGCTGGTCTTTGCAGAAAGCGCTTTAGAGCAGCGCAGCCCGTCTGCTGGACGGACTCAGAGGGAAAAGTTAGGCAAGATGGCAAAACCCGCAGAGCCGGAGTGAAAGGGCGCCGCTGCCCCGCTTATTACTGAGAACAAGCCGAGCCTGCGTTTCCTCCTGCGGGGGAATCCGACGATGCAAACCGCGCCACAAGGTAGGAAAAATAATAATCTAAAAATTCAAACTAAACCTGTGAAGCGTCTCCTTCTCATCTTATATCCCCGCTTCTCAGGTAGTTGCATCTTTGTGTGTGTAACTTTAAAGTTATTGACCCACTATAGGGAGGATATTGTTGTTTTTCTGGGACGCAGTCAGTCGGATCCGCAGCAGGCTGGGTGCTGATGAAGCACAGTGACAGTTTTAGACAGCAGATCTGCTCCCACATTTTACTCCTCAGCTTTCCTCTGTGGATCCGGATCTTCCACGCACACAGAGCTCCCTTCTCCCGTGGAAGGCCAACCTATCATTGAAATAATGTCAGGAAGCCGTCGGTAAAATTCAGCGCCAGGATCACCGGCAGCTGTATTTTTAGGAATGGGTGGATACCAGCAACATTTTTCTTGTCTTTCTTTTTTTTTTGCCGTTATTTTTGTCCCGGCGGTGAATGCCACAAGCCCTTTGCTGCACAGGCGACAGCTATAAATGCTCGGTGAAGTTTTTAGAGTCTGGCTTCTTTCAGTTAAATAAATACATTTAAATTGTCCCACTGCAGCAGCAACAGGGACACAGTGGGATCAGGCTGGAGACATGTCTGAATGAAAGAAGTAGAAAGTGACACACAGAGAGTACAGGCGCAAATCCCACGTTACCAACTCACAGGGGCGCCGTGTATAGGGGGCGCCAGAAAAAGGGTGTAAAAGCGATTTCTGGTGGCACTTTCTGTATTTAGAGGTGAGTTATTGTGTTTGAATCGTTTAGAATATGGGTTACAACATGTACGGAACATTTATTTATTTTTTTTGCATAAAATAATTCTTACATAATGAGACTTCTGTCTGTCCTCTTTCCGAATGTCTTCTCATTTTAAATCCAAATAAGTTGCTGCTGGCCATGCCCCTCCTCCTCCCACTCAAATTTAACATTTGCATGTGAAAATAGTTGCAAAAAGATGCGCAATTATACAACTGTACATGCTTGAAAAGTATCAGGAGAGCCTCCTGCACAATCAACAAGAATGAAGCAAGTGGTTTCAGTCATCAATGAAACTCTTGTCTCTTCCAGCAGTGCATACATGCTGGAGCTGCTTGGGTTGCTTGTTGGAATGTGACTTAATCTGAGAAGTTTTTGAAACTGATCGTTTTCCAGACACCGAAAAACATTAACTTGTTGCCACAAAACTTTTTTCTTTTTTTTTTTTTTTGCCTTGGTTTGTTTTTAGAAGCAGCTGATATCCAAATGAAAACACAAAAAAATGTGAATACATGCTGGCATTTGTTCTGCTTGGGTTGCTGGGTAATGGGGCAGTGCCTGTGGAATGTAATTTAACAAGTAGAAAGTTTTTGAAACAACAAAAAAGTAAAGTGGTTGCGACCCGAGTGGAAGTACAGAAATGTGAATACATGCTGGAGTTCTGCTGGTGTTGCTAGGTAACAAGGCTGGAGTTCTGCTGGTGTTGCTAGGTAACAAGGCTGGAGTTCTGCTGGTGTTGCTAGGTAACAAGGCTGGAGTTCTGCTGGCGTTGCTAGGTAACAAGGCTGGAGTTCCGCTGGTGTTGCTAGGTAACAAGGCTGGAGTTCCACTGGCGTTGCTAGGTAACAAGGCTGGAGTTCCACTGGTGTTGCTAGGTAACAAGGCTGGAGTTCCGCTGGCGTTGCTAGGTAACGGCGCAGTGCTCGTGGAATTTGACTCAACAGTTGGGAGATTTTTGAAACGGCTCGTTTTCCTGACACCAAAAACACAAAAAAATCGTTTTTAGAAGCAGCCGAGACCCAATGGAAGTACAAAACTGTGGAATGTGAACAGCTGTTGTTTTGTGCTTGTGTAAATGACTTGCCTCAGGACGTACGAGGTTGCAGTTCCCTGTTGAACATGCTTCTTTTCTAATCTCTGACATCCACCTGCAGGCCTGACAGGGGATTCCCTGAAGGGAATTGCCACAGACTGATGCTGCTGCGACAAAGCTAGAGCTGGAAAAGAGCTGACTCGTCTCCGATCAATCCCATCTGAGATCCACCGAGCCGCCAGAAGCATATCCGATCACCTCATGCCTGCTTAGAGCCGGATCCGCCTCTCCTCTCCTCCTGTCTCTCACTCTCTCAGCAAAGGAGATTATCGGGAATCGAAGGTGGTGTGGAAGCCCCTCCTGCAGGGATTTATCTGCCACCTGGGACGTCCCACCGCATTCGGCGGCGCCTCGTCCGTCCCGCCCGGCAGACCATGATGTTTCGGGATCAGGTGGGCGTGCTGGGCAGCTGGTTTAAGGGATGGAACGAGTGCGAGCAGACAGTGGCTCTGGTGTCACTGCTGAAGAGGGTGAGCCGGACCCAGGCCCGATTCCTGCAGGTGTGTCTGGAGCACTCCCTGGCTGAATGCACGGAGCTGCAGGTCCTGGAGGGAGAGGCCAATAATCCAGGTAGGACGGCTTCTTCTCAGATTAATAGACAAAAACACAAAATATGATCAAGTTCTAGTTTCTACTGAATTAAATAAATAATTCCTCAATATTTAAGAAAAAATAAATGTTTGTTGGCAGATTGTTTCTCTTAAATCCTGTAGAGTCTGTCTGTAGGTTTTTGCTGAAGCAATTAATCTGGATTCAATTATAAGGGAAACAATCTGCCAATGAAACTAATTTTAAAAAGATCAATATTAAGGAATGACACTGTTAAAAAAGCTGCTGTATCTTGCTGAAAAGTTACTTTTAGGATAGTTTTGGCTTATTTCAAGTCTACTCACATTTGTACAAGACCAGAAATAGTTGGTAATATTTTGTGTTTTTGCAGTGCATGATACAAAAAAAGATGAGTACACTCAAATTCACGCTTCTGCTTTCATTTAAGTTCACTGCAATATTTTCATGACCCACATTTGTTACAGCATCAATGTCAGTTATCACACTACAGGTTAGTAATTACACTGCAAAAACTTTTCAGCAAGATTTAAATATTAATAATTTATTAATATTGATTAAAAAATATTCTAGTTCCACTGGCAGGTTATTTCACTTGTAACAAAACATTTTCCAATTTTACAAATGAAATAATCGGCCAGTGGAACTAATACTTGTTCATCAATATTAAGGAATGTTTTACTTAAAACAAGCTCCAATCTCAATGTGAGTTAGTTTTGTAAGTTTACCGAGATATTTGCACTAGAAACTAGACAAAGATAGTTGGTAAGAATTTGTGTTTTTGCTGTGATTTAACTTCCAATCAAATGCGATCAGCTTCTCAGCTCCTGGCTGAGGGAATCATCCCCACAGCATAATGCTGCCACCACCTTCGGGGTTGGTGTGCTCAGAGTGATGATACTTTTCTTCTATGGTTTTCTATCAACAAACCATTTCTTTGTTGCCACTCCTCCAGAAAGAAACACAGCTTTATGTTCCTCTCAGGTTTGTGCTGCTAATGATTCCAAATGTAGAAATGAGTCCCAGGGGAAATTTTCAGACATTTCAGAGAGATTATTTCTTCCTGTAGAGTCTGTTTGTAGGTGCTTGCTGAAGCGATTAACCAGATTTATTGATTAACCATTAACTGGAGTAAACTGACTGAAAAATTGGCAGTTTGGTGAAAGAGCAACACACTCAGAGGAGTAATTCAGCCAAAATTGTACAAAAATCTAAACTTGTATTATTGTAAGAAAAACGTCTGTAAATATGTTCTACCTGAAATTCATCTAGTGTCAATTCTGCAAATTCTTTAAAGAAATTGTTAAAGACTTTTGATTTCAAATTATCATTAGCCTCACACTGCATAGCACAGTTTTTTTATGTTGCTAGAAATATTGTTAACCTGCAGATGCATTCTTGGCTAAAAATGATAAAATATTTGCAAAGCGAATGTTGCATTTTAGGGAACAAAATGTTTATTTTCTTATTTTAAAATGGAAGGATTTGTTAATTTGCATCTTTTAATGTAGTTCTATGGCTTAAATGAGAAATTTGCCAACTTTTTCAATTAATTTATTGTCAATTGAACCTAAAAGTTTGCGTTTCTTTCTCAGTTTGTCTATATTAATGTCTTTGTGAGTTAAAGCTGCAGACTTTTACGGTTTTTGCTGTTTTCTGCTGCTTTTGACCTATCTTTGGGTTTTAACACATGAAGATTTGCTGATATAGTTTGGATCAACTCACCGGACGTGAAGCGCTGAAAAGCTGCTGCAGATTTTACAGTTTACAGTCTTGTAGCTCTTCCTGACCTGGTTTTGGGCCAAAGCAACAGGGGAAGCAGCAAGGAGGGGGTTGTGCCTCCGTTTCTGTTGCATCACACTGCAGCACCGCCATGGTAACAGAAACCCTGGCAACCGACCGGGCTCATGAAAAATGGAGCGAAGCGCCGCTGGGATGGAGCGACACCTGCAGCGGCGCATGGACGGGTTATCAGATCTGGGTGAGCCGCTCCTGTCGGGTCACACTCCTCTCTCTGCTCTGTTATTGTTTGATAAAACCAGACATCAAAGCTGACGGCATGGCGTTTTCCCCGGTGACTCCCGGAAAAATAAAACTGCGTTTATACTGTCAGAGATCCAAGCGCAGCGGGGAAAGCACCTGATATTACTCGGCCGCTGGTTCGTCTGGTGCCCATTGGAGGTCAGGAAGAGTCTGAAATAAAACCTGAATGAAACGCTGAAGGTGTGCAGATGTGTTTGAGAACCGGTGTTTCTTTATTTTGGAAATTAGTCAATAAAAAAAACATAGTTTATAGTGTTAAAGTTTAATTTTCTGCTACCCAATATTGTATAAATAATTTTAAAAATCCCAACTGGACCGACCCGGTGTAAATAAGTTATCTAAGGCTGCTTTCACACCTGACAGTCCAGTGGACTCAGTTTGATTGAGGAGCAAAATTGCAGCATTTGTTGCATTTTCAGTTGCTGGGTTTTCTGAAACCAATCAAACCCTTTGAGCAACCTGCTCCTCTCCTCACCTGTGGGGGCGCTGCAGCAAGAATCTCTAAAGTAAATTACAGGAAAACCTCTGAAGAAGACGCAGAGCCCAACTTCGGTCTTCACAAAGTGTAAGCAAAAACGGGGCGGTGTCAGATTTAAGTGGCTGTCAGATTTCTCTTTTGTCTTTGATGAGCCATTTCTCCTGCTAGCACTAGCTTAGCGTGTATATTTTGGTTGTATTTACCCAGAATGCCCTGTGTTGCAGTCCGCTTCCTAATTTTGGAGTGCTTGGCATTCTCACATACATTCATATACAGTTCGCTTCTACTGTACCAAGTCCAAGGTTTTTAGGCGGACCAGAGTTCGATTAGCATTCACATCTCACCAACCGAACCGGTCTTCCTAGCCAAACAGAGAAGACTAAACTAACCAGGACTGTTGTGACCAATAGACACTGAAGGGAGCGATATTATTGTGATCATTTAAATGTAAGACACGTTAAAGTCACACTTTGACTTTAAAGAAAGATATTTTAGGCTTTTGTAGCAGCTACTACAGTTAACCCCGTCACAGTAACACATTTTCCTGGATGGTAAATTGTCTCAGAATTTATTGCAATAAATGATAATATTGTTGTTTTGAGACCATTTTTGAGTAACATAGTGGTAAGAATGGCATAATAATACATAAATACATTCTCCAAGATCAATAAACTTTCAATTCTAAAGACCGTTTAATACCTGGAACTGGACAACTTTTTAAATATACAAAATAAATAAAAACAACAAAATTAACTATGAAGTCTCTGTAAAACAAAATTAACCTTAAAAAAAAGCCTAATTGAGACCAAAACACCAGATTGAAACTTTTATCATCCAGTTTTTGGAAGGACGAGTAAAATGATTCAATTTATGATGCGATTAATTGATTTATTGCTTATTGTGACAGACCTAAATATAACCTTTTCTGCGTTTTTTACATTTTATATATTATTATTTATTTATTTATTTTTAATCAGTTTATTTGCATAGCACATTTCAGCAACAAGAAAGTAAAAAAGTGCTTTACATCATAAAAACGTCATGCAGTCAACAATTAGGGTTATTATTGTTATGTAATAGCTATAATACCAGCTTACCAGAACTTATTTTATTTACTCATGCAGCTTGGTAAAAGATGACGGGGTTGGTGCAGGTTCACAGAGCGACTCGGTAAACAAAGGAAAAACTCTCACAGTCTGAGATAAAAGGTGACTCTGCTGCAGGGAGAGAGCTAACAGTTGTGCAACGTGTGTAAACTGTAACTATGTACGTACTCCACTCAGCCTCAGACGGTTCTGCTCATTTCTGTTTACAAAACAAAACACGAGTAGCGGCTCCGCTGAGCGCCGCTTTCGTTGAGCTGCGCCATCTTCGTTCGCAGCCGAGTGGAGTTCATGCATCTTTCTGACAGTTAGAGAAAGCGATACAAAACATTCAGCTGTGAATTTTGTATGATATAGTTGATTCAGTTCAATTTGATTCAATTTATTATTGGTCAAACTCGGATTCGGCCAGAAAACTGCAATCAGTGCATTCCTAGTTGAAAACCATAATGTTGATAATTACTTCCAGATTTTAAGACTGAGTAGGAAACCTCAACAAAATGCCTTTTTTTGTGCACTACAAGAAAAACAGGCTATGGTGCAGAAAATCTACAATTCACTCCAAACACACAAAATTTAACCAAGTATTTTTGGTCTTATTCAAGGGCGTAAATCCCATCTCAAAACAGAAACATTTCTAAAGACCAATTTTAGGAGTGCACTGATTGCAGTTTTCTCCCTCTCATTATTTATTGTAAATCTTTGAAAAGCAGAAGTAGAGCTCCCTGCACAACCAACAAGTATGAAGCAAGTGGTTTCTTGATGATAAGTTAACAGCACATATAAAAGTGGTAAAACCAGCTGACCAAATGTGTTGGAGTCCTGCTGGGTAACAGGTTCGGCATAGCTGAGGTTGCTAGATAATGGCATTGCCTGTGGAATGTGACATATCTGGAGGTTTTTGGAGCAGCTCATTTTCCAGCCACTAAAAAAATGTTTAACTCACTGCCAAGAAACAGCTGGATGGGTTTTTTAAAGTACTTGGGCCATTTTTAGAAGCAATTGAGACCAAAATAGAAGCATAAAAACACATAAAATCTAAATATTAAGAAAGCCAGCTAGCTTGTTGGCGTTAAAGACAGCTTAAAGATTCCAAATGGAAGTATAAAGATGTGGAAAATGTCCATTTAAGTGTTTATTTTGCTGTGAGCGTCTATCAGCTGCTGGTGTCCTGCAGCAGCACTAAAAACCCTGGAAGTGGTAAAGTTGCTCAGAGCTCAGGGAAGACGGGGAGACTCATCTGGTTGGAAAAGAGGGCGCATTCCTGTGGAACAACCGTAACTTCTGTACCTCCGGAGTGAATTTTGGGCCTCGCCTCGCTGTTTTCCCTTTCACTTGTGTCAACTTGCGGTTGCCTTTTCCCTTCGCTGATTCAGCTC